ATATGTTGCTAGGCCCAAATGCACGAGAAGGGTCAATAATCACGTGTTATAGCTCATGAAATGATCGGTTTTGAATTCGGCAATGATATTTTGACATAGAGCGTCGAACAGACCAAAATGGTCATAAATCGTTCAGACAATAGCTCATGAAATGGTCAGTTTTGACATTTCTGACACCCGACCAAAATAGAGGAAAATGGTCAAAATTCATAGGTTATAGCTCATGGAATCATCGATTTTGAATTCAGCAAATCTATCACGCCCCGCTTCCCAAAATACCGGGGAATCGGAACGTGAACAAGCCCACGACGTATTAGATTGAGAAGAAATATATATACTATCATTTTTTTCTTCTCAATCCAATACGCTAAGCATCAAATATATAAATCTCAGTCACAGGTCCCCGATCACAATAGTAAGAGTATAAAGACAACCCAGAATAAGAAATAAACATATCATCAACAGATCATCCCAGACATAAAATATGGGTTCAACATACCCTTATTACAACCACAGTTCAACTAGAAAATAAGAAATACATAGTCCATAATAAAAGGAAATACTAATAAAATAACCAAGTCTATCCCCAACTAAAGAAAATACTATAAGAGTGTTCTATTAGCTACTACAGAAAGAAAAGCACGTCTAGGCTTCAGTTTGTTCTTCCACTCCATCGGAAGGACACCCCGGCTGGGTATACTCCGGCTCGGCTGCATCATCGAACTGAACATGTTCATCTCCTAAGTCTGACGCACACCAGAGAAAAACAGGTGTACGTCAGCGTGTATGGCACACGACAAGATCTCACATGAACAAATAAAACGGTCTAACGACCCATACTATAACAATAGTAATGATGGAACATGATTCTGTAATTCTAACAATTTAATGAACATTTGTTACTATCAGAATGAACAGAAGTACTCAAGCCAACTGGTAATCTAATTCCTACGACTAATCCATCCTATAACAAGTCACTGGTCAATTCTCACACAAAGTCATCACTCATATCACCGGATATCTGACTGTTCACAAATCCCCTACGTGTATCCAAACCCGCGAAACGGTTCGGTGAGAGGACTACACGCAATCCGATTTCGGCCTGGTTCGAACTCAAGAAAAACTCGGGTGATGAAACGATTTCACTGACCAAGTGCGAAACGGTTTACTTAGCCCAACAAACTAACCCCAGTGCGAAATGGTTCACTGGTTCTAGTCTGGAAGATACATCAACAGTCTTATCCGATCACATGAACACTGACTTCCCCATCCCAACTCTTCTCGTTTTTCTAAGTTAACTATAATCTTCATTAGAAACTCTGGTTCACCGCCTAAACCAGTCAACACACTCACACATGTCACTAAGTCTGTTCATGACGCACAAGGCCACTAAGTCATGAACTACTATGGTTCTCAACACATCAAAAAATGATTTTTCACCAAAATAATTTATTATAATTATTTTAAAATGATCCTTTCACCAAAATAATTTATTATAATTATTCTAAAATGATTATTTTGTCAAATAAATTCTTTAAAATTATAAATTATTCTAAAATAATTTTATTTTATTTTATCTTTACAGTATCTATTATCAAAATATTATTTTTAGTACTTTTCAATATCATTCGTCAAATAAATCCGTACAGGTCATCACAGTATATGTATTACAATGTGAATGGTCATACGTCATTGTCTACAGTCCATTTCGTTCACAACAGTTCTATACGTTATAATTCTCAGTTCAATATGTTCACGATAGTTTTATATTTGTAACGAGTAATTATTCGGGTAACGAGTTCGTATGCAAAATTAATTTGTGATCATCTAAAATTTTACTGAGCAAGAATAGGGATCTTGCCTCGGGGTTTTTGTCGAACGAATCGACGCTGACGGCGCGGGTCGTATCTAACGCGGAGGAGCACGGCGTCGGAAGGAACTCCTGCGAGCGGCTGCGGGGATTCGGCGATGCTCGTCAGCGACGAGGGGGCGACAACGACGATGCTGACGCCTGGTCGAGCCTGGACTGACAGCGAGCGAAGAGGCTCAGCGGCGGAGCTACTCGAAGTGTTTTGTCGCGGGAGGCGGGCGAGGAGACCGGTGCAGTCGGCCGGCTTAGTGGGACTGGAGTGTGGTGCGAGGGGCTCGATCAGCGGTTGCTAGCCGAGTAACTGCGAGCGTCGGAGGCAGAGCGGCGGTCAGCGGTGGAGGAGGTCACCGAACGTCGGGACGTCCGCCGTCGTCGGCAGAGGCGACGGCCGAGACGGCGGCTGGCGGGCGGATCTGAGGTAGCGCTCGGGCGCCGGCCTGGAGCTGGGGTTCTGGCAGCACAAGAGACGCTTCGGGAGAGAGGCGGAATGGGGTTGGGCAGCGCCGACGGCGCGCTGCGGTTCGTCGGCCCATGCGGCTGGCGCTGGCGGAGCCGCGGGGCAGGCCTGTGGCGGAGGATGGAGGCGGCGGTCGGTCTCGATATCGCATGATGAGCAGAGAGAGAGGACGAGAGAAGCAGAGAGAGACGAAGAGAGAGAGACTGAGAGAGAAGACGGAGCAGAGAGAGAAAGTAAGAAAGCAAGAGAGATGAGATGAGAGACAGAGAAAACTGAGCCACGAGTGAGAGAGGTAGGCAGGGTTTAAATAGAAGAAATTTTGAATAAAAAAATAAAAAAAATAAAATATTGAAAGAGGATGCGCGTGGAGCTGTTTTTTTTGGAAAAAAAGGAGGGAGAGAACGTGATGAGGGGGTGGTTGTTGGGGGTTTGACGCGGGAAGCAAAGTTTTGGATTATTTTCAAATAGTTTCAGGTATTTAAACAAAAATGATTAAATAAATAGTTACAGGTATTAAAAAATTAAACTAATTACGGAATAATTATCTACAAATAAAAACATACATGTTGTGCTAATACAATAGTTGATACGAAATAGTCAAAATATACACATATTGTATAATTAAACAAGAATAAATAATGATAAAAATATATTTACTTATATTTAAAATCAAATAATTATGTGACAATTATCTACACGATAAAACGTACCAGATATGCTAATACGACAGCTGATACATAATAATTAAAATAATATAATAATTTACACAAATAATACGTAATTAATAATTCAACATAATATAAGAATTAATATGTAATAATAATAATAATAATAATACAACATATTATTTAAAATAATACGTAATAGTATCAGTAACACAACAGATAAATCCCAAAAATTTTCATTGCACTAAATTAATTTATAAATATCAAAACCATTTAAATAAATATAAAACTTAGACTTTAAATCATCGAAAATTTCTAGAAAATCGAGAAAAATACAAATACTCTTTTAAAAATCATAATTAAATATTTTAAAATACCAAAAAATTTATTTTAATTAGTATTAAAATTTTACGGTCATTACATTCTACCCCCTTAAACAAATTCCGTCCTCAGAATTAAAATAATGGTGATGTATAAAGAACCCAAGGACAGAGATATGGAAAGAGATACTCACTCAACACATATAGAGAATGGTTCAAAATAACTGCATATTCATAAGCAGGGGAAAAAGTAAGACAAGAACAATACAGGGTAAAGTACAAGATGTGACAACTAAGATTCAAGAAACAGATGAGGGTATCGTTGTCTCATTTCAGACTCAGTCTCCCAAGTCGACTCGCCAGGAGAATCTGGATGCCACATCACACGAACGAGCGTGACGGTTTTGTTCCGGAGAGTCTTCTCTCTTTGGTCCAGAATTGCCACAGGTTGTTTCTCGTATGTCAAATCAGGTCGCACCTCAATCTCCGAGAAATCTACGATATGACTCGGATCTCCGACATATCTCCGCAACTGAGAAATGTGGAATACGTCATGCACTCTAGCCAATGCGGGTGGTAATGCAAGTCGATATGCCACTTCTCCAACCCTCTCTAATACGTCGAAAGGTCCCACATATCGCGGACTCAACTTCCCACGCCTTCCAAAGCGAATGGTGCCTCGGTTGGGAGAAATCTTCAGGAACACATGATCTCCTGGCTGAAACTCTAAGTGCCGGCGCTTCGCATCTGCCCAATGCTTGAATCTGTCATGTGCTATGCGAAGTCGCTCCCGAATGATCCTGACTGCATCAACTGATCTCTCAATCAACTCTGGCCTAAAAATCTCCCGTTCACCGACATCGTCCCAACTCAAAGGAGAGCGGCACTTCCTGCCATACAATGCTGCAAAAGGGGCCATTGCAATACTAGCCTGGAAGCTATTGTTGTATGCAAACTCCACCAAATGCAAGTGATCTTCCCACAACCCATGAAAGTCAAGCATACAAGCTCTAAGCATATCCTCCAAAATCTGAATGGTCCTCTCCGACTGCCCATCGGTCTGGGGATGATAAGCTGTGCTGAAACTGAGACTGGTCCCAAGACTCCCCTGCAAACTCTTCCAGAATTCTAAGGTAAATCGGGTATCGCGATTCGAAACAATGCACACTGGAACTCCGTGCAATCACACGATCTCCTCCATGTATCTCTGAGCAAGATGCTCCGTCGACTGTCCCACTCGGAAAGGAATGAAGTGAACCGATTTGGTTAATCGATCTATGATCACCGAAACATCATCATTCTGCTTAGTGCTCCGAGGTAAGCCAGCGACGAAGTCCATGGTGACATGCTGCCATTTCCATTCCGGAATAGGCAGTGGCTGAAAAAGAACTACGATGCGCTGATGCTCTGCCTTCACCTGCTGACATACAAGACACTTAGTCACACTACGAGCCACATCTCTCTTCATACCACGCCACCAATAATTCAGCTTCAGATCTTTATACATCTTCGTATCTCCAGGGTGAATAGAATACTATGAGCTGTGAGCTTCTCGTAATAATTCTTCTCGAATATCTCCTTCTGGTACGCAGATACGACTCCCAAATCGTAAGGATCTGTCCTCATGAACAACAAATTCTGACTGAAGACTAGTCGATGCTAACCCTCTGCACTTCTGAAGAAATGAGTCACCTGATTGTGCAGCCTTGATTCGCTCGACCAATATCGATTGAATTTGAAGATTCATCAAGGAAGCGGTGACTCCTGGAAGTATAACTTCTATACTCATATCCCTCACTTCCTGCTAAAGTCTTCACTGAGCTGTGAGGGGTCATGATTGCCGGCAAACGACTCAAAGCATCTGGTACCACATTGACCTTACCAGGGTGATACTGAAGATCAATGTCGTAATCCGCCATCAACTCTAACCATCGGCATTGCCTCATGTTGAGCTCCTTCTGAGTAAATATATACTTCAAGCTCTTGTGGTCAGTGAACACCTTCACTTGCTCTTCCAATTGATCGAAGATGTCATCGATACGGGGAAGTGAATACTTATTCTTCACTGTCACCGCATTCAACTCTCGATAGCCGATGCACATCCGCTTGGATCTATCCTTCTTTCCCACGAGCAACACAGGTGCTCCCCAGGCCGATACACTAGGTCGTATCAAGCCTCTCTGCAAAAGATCATCCAACTGAGTCCGAAGCTCGGCCAACTCAGCTGGAGGCATACGATAAGGAGTCTTGGAGATCGGAGCAGTTCCAGGCTTTAATTCTATGGAAAAATCAATTGCTCGATCCGGTGGCAATCCGTAAATGTCGTCGGGAAATACATCTTCAAATTCCTGAACTACATTTGGCTTCTCGGGTTCCACCTGCATGGCAGCAAACATCGCCTTCTTCGGTCTAGCTCTGTACTCTATCGGTCCAGCCGATGTACTGCCACTGAGGAATTCAAACCTCGGGTGATCCGGTATCTCGAATACTACGCTCCGACGATGACAATCAATGGTGGCAAAGAACGACCCCAACCAATCCATCCCAAAAACTGCATCAAAGCTCGGCAAATCTATCACCAGAAAATCTGCGAAGAGTTCCTTCCCACAGATGACCACAGGGCATGCTTCATAACCACTAGATGCTACTAGGACACCACTGCCCGTGTTGATATTCCAGCCCATAGTCAGAGGAGTTATAGGAAGAGAATGGGCACTCGCAAATCGACGAGACAAGAAACAATGGGAAGCTCCAGAGTCAAAGAGCGATAAAGCAAGGACAGAGGAAACAAGAACCTTGCCTATTATAGGAGGATGAATGCAACTAACTTAGTATTCATAAACAATCCTATCATGATATCATTATGTAATAAGAAAATTCATATGCAATTAAGACTAAGATGAACAATTCTTACCAGTGATAACTTGATCGTTCGCCTCAGCTTCTACGGCTGACATCATGAACATCTGTCGCTGAGGTTGCTGCATGTGTGCTTCCTGATAAATCTGCTGCTGTGGAGGGAGAGGTCGCTGAGTATGCCCGGAATAGCCACAATAAGCACATCTCACTGAAGACTGGCCATGAGACTGCACTCCAGGGCACTGATAAGGGTGAGCCTGCTGAAATGGCTGATGCTGAGAATGCTGCTGTCTCTGAGGAGCCTGCTGCTGCTGCCTCGGAGGGGGACGCTCGACATTTCGGGTCGGAGCTGCTGGTGTCCTACTCTGAATCAAGTGTGAATCTTCTGGTTCCTTCTGCACGCTTTTAATCTCGCGTGTTGCATCCAATACGGCGTCGTGAGTCGCGAGTGCCTTACCAGCCAAAGCCAATCTGATATACTTGTCCAGACCTTTCTGGAACTGGTGCTTCCTGATAGTGGGGTCTGTAACCAAGTGGGGAGCATATCAGCTCAAAGAAGAAAACTCGGCCTCATACTCGTCGACTGATCGACCCCCTTGCTTGAGCTCGACAAATTTACGCAGGAGCTCATCTCGGGCCGATTGAGGAAAATACTTCCTATTGAAGCGATCCGTGAATGTCTCCCACAGAATCGGCCTCTCTAGGTGTGTCTTCTCGGCATCCCACCAGATTCGAGCCGTATCTGTGAGCTGGACATCCATAAGGTCCACCCACTCTGTAGGAGCAATGCGGGTCACCGTAAGGATAGTCTCGGTAACCTTCAGGAACTCTTCTGCTGCTAGAGGTCCTTCGGCACTGGAAAAAGAAGGAGGTCGCATATACCGAAACTCTCTAACACCAGGTTCTGTATGAGGGGGAGGCTGGTGAGGCTCCCGCTGCAAGTGCCCAGCCAAATGCTGTTGATTCGTCGCCAGTCCCTGAATCATTGCCAAAAGTTGGCGTGGGTCCACTTCGGGAGGCGGAACATTACTACTGGATGGGTTACCATTGTTACGTGTACCCACCATGGTTCTGAAGGGAAGGCAACAAGGATTAAAATTATTGTAGGAAAAATCAAGTCAAGATCAAAATCGAAATTGGGTAAGGTAGGGACGGAAACAAGATTGGTCAAGATAAAAAATCAAGTCAAGATCAAAATCGAAATTGGGTAAGGTAGGGACGGAAACAAGATTGGTCAAGATACTAGGATAAGGGCTAAGTGGTAAGGTAGGGACGGAAACAAGATTGGTCAAGATACTAGGATAAGGGCTAAGTATAGTCTTACGGATGGAAAATGATATGGATTTGAATCGTCCAATACATTCTTACTAGTGGAAACTTAGGACCGTAATCGGAACCGTGACCTGCATGGTTCACCACTAAAACCTGTCATGCCCCGCTTCCCAAAATACCGGGGAATCGGAACGTGAACAAGCCCGCGACGTATTAGATTGAGAAGAAATATATATACTATCATTTTTTTCTTCTCAATCCAATACGCTAAGCGTCAAATATATAAATCTCAGTCACAGGTCCCCGATCACAATAGTAAGAGTATAAAGACAACCCAGAATAAGAAATAAACATATCATCAACAGATCATCCCAGACATAAAATATGGGTTCAACATACCCTTATTACAACCACAGTTCAACTAGAAAATAAGAAATACATAGTCCATAATAAAAGGAAATACTAATAAAATAACCAAGTCTGTCCCCAACTAAAGAAAATACTATAAGAGTGTTCTATTAGCTACTACAGAAAGAAAAGCACGTCTAGGCTTCAGTTTATTCTTCCACTCCATCGGAAGGACACCCCGGCTGGGTATACTCCGGCTCGGCTACATCATCGAACTGAACATGTTCATCTCCTAAGTCTGACGCACACCAGAGAAAAACAGGTGTACGTCAGCGTGTATGACACACGACAAGATCTCACATGAATAAATAAAACGGTCTAACGACCCATACTATAACAATAGTAATGATGGAACATGATTCTGTAATTCTAACAATTTAATGAACATTTGTTACTATCAGAATGAACAGAAGTACTCAAGCCAACTGGTAATCTAATTCCTACGACTAATCCATCCTATAACAAGTCACTGGTCAATTCTCACACAAAGTCATCACTCATATCACCGGATATCTGACTGTTCACAAATCCCCTACGTGTATCCAAACCCGCGAAATGGTTCGGTGAGAGGACTACACGCAATCCGATTTTGGCCTGGTTCGAACTCAAGCAAAACTCGGGTGACAAAATGATTTCACTGACCAAGTGCGAAACGGTTCACTTGGCCCAACAAACTAACCCCAGTGCGAAACGGTTCACTGGTTCTAGTTTGGAAGATACATCAACAGTCTTATCCGATCACATGAACAAAGACTTTCCCATCCCAAGTCTCTTGTTTTTCTAAGTTAACATACACATATGTTTCTAAGTCTTAAACAGGACACACCAGGCCACACTAGTCATGAATTTCTAACGGTTCTCAAGCATAACAAAGAGTAATAAATGCAGCTAATCATATACAACAAGATCATAGCATATCACATAATTAAAATTAAGAACCTAAATCATGAATAATTCATAATAATCCATTCTCTAAAATAAATCCTTTAAAATTATTTATAAATGTTCTAAAATAATTCCTTTTATAAAACTTTCTAAAATTATTGAAATTATTCTAAATTTATACTTATTCTAAAATAAATTCTTTTAAATTATTTATAATTATTCTAAAATAATTCTTTTGTCAAATAAATTCTATTAATTTATTATAATTACTCTAAAATGATTTTTCACCAAAATAATTTATTATAATTATTTTAAAATGATCCTTTCACCAAAATAATTTATTATAATTATTCTAAAATGATTATTTTGTCAAATAAATTCTTTAAAATTATAAATTATTCTAAAATAATTTTATTTTATTTTATCTTTATAGTATCTATTATCAAAATATTATTTTTAGTACTTTTCAATATCATTCGTCAAATAAATCCGTGCAGGTCATCACAGTATATGTATTACAATGTGAATGGTCATACGTCATTGTCCACAGTCCATTTCATTCATAACAGTTCTATACGTTATAGTTCTCAGTTCAATATGTTCACGATAGTTCTATATTTGTAACGAGTAATTATTCGGGTAACGAGTTCGTATGCATAATTAATCTGTGATCATCTAAAATTTTACTGAGCAAGAATAGGGATCTTGCCTCAGGGTTTTTGTCGAACGAATCGACGCTGACGGCGCGGGTCAGATCTGACGCGGAGGAGCACGGCGTCGAAAGGAACTCCGACGAGGGCTGCGGGATCTTGGCGATGCTCGTCGGCGATGAGGGGGCGGACAACGACGAGGGTGGACGGGTCGAGCTGGACGACAGCGGCGAAGAGCTCAGGGTGGAGCTGCTGGAAGTGGTCGGCGCGGAGGCGGGGAGGAGACGCGGTGCAGGCGGCGGCTAGTGGGGACTGGAGGTTTTGAGGAGAGGGCATTGGGTGGGGAGCTTGAGGAGAGGGGAGAAGGTGGAGATAGGGGAGGAGAGAGAAAGTGGAGGCATGGAGAAAGAGAGAGAGAGAGAGAGAGAGAGAGAGGTAGGCAGGGTTTAAATAGAAGAAATTTTGAATAAAAAAATAAAAATAAAATAAAATATTGAAAGAGGATGCGCGTGGAGCTGTTTTTTTGGAAAAAAAAGGAGGGAGAGAACTTGATGAGGGGGTGGTTGTTGGGGGTTTGACGCGGGAAGCAAAGTTTTGGATTATTTTCAAATAGTTTTAGGTATTTAAACGAAAATAATTAAATAAATAGTTACGGGTATTAAAAAATTAAACTAATTACGAAATAATTATCTACAAATAAAAACTTACATGCTGTGCTAATACAACAATTGATACGAAATAGTCGAAATATACACATATTGTATAATTAAACGAGAATAAATAATAATAAAAATATATTTACTTATATTTAAAATAAAATAATTATGTGACAATTATCTACATGATAAAACTTACCAGATATGCTAATACGACAGCTGATACGTAATAATTAAAATAATACAATAATTTACACAAATAATACGTAATTAATAATTCAACATAATATAAGAATTAATTAATAATTCAACATAATACAAGAATTAATACGTAATAGTAATAATAATACGACATATTATTTAAAATAATACGTAATAGTATCAGTAACACAACAGATAAATCCCAAAAAATTTCATTGCACTAAATTAATTTATAAATATCAAAACCATTTAAATAAATATAAAACTTAGACTTTAAATCATCGAAAATTTCTAGAAAATCGAGAAAAATACAAATACTCTTTTAAAAATCATAATTAAATATTTTAAAATACTAAAAAATTTATTTTAATTAGTATCAAAATTTTACGCTTATTACAAAATCTTTCTGGTGTCGGGCCTAAATGGACCAAAACAGACAAAATGTGTCAAAAATCCTGGGTTATAGCTAACAAAATCGTTAAATATGCATCCCGCTTAATTGTTTGCACCGGTCGAAAAGGGGCGTAAATGGACAAAATTTGTGGGTTATAGCTAACAAAATTATGAAATTTTGCACCGTCGAGTCATTTGCCATCAGACGAATTCATCAAAGTTGAGCAAAAATCATTGATTATAGCTCACAAACTCGTGAAATTCGAATAATGAGTTAGAACTCATGAAATTGCGTACGGGTCAAAACGGATCAAAACGGTTGGAAAACCATGGGTTATAACCTATAAAATCGTGAAATTTGAAATCCTCCTAATTATTTTCCGCCCGGACCGAACGCACAAGAAGGGACAATAATCACGTGTTATAGCTCATGAAATGATCGGTTTTGAAATCGGCAATGATATTTTGATACAGTGCGTCGAACAGACTAAAATGGTTAGAAATAGTTCGTACAATAGCTCTTGAACTGGTCGGTTTTGACATTTCAGACACCCGGCTAAAATAGAGGAAAATTGTCAAAATTCAAGGGTTACAGCTCATGAAATCATCGGTTTTGAATTCAGCAAATCTTTCTGGCGTCGGGTTGAAACGGGCCTAAACTAACAAAATGTGTCAGAAATCAAGGGTTATAGCTCACGAAATTACGAAATAGCACTCCACCTAATTAACTGTACCCGACAGAAATGGGGGCGTAAAATGGATAAATTTTGTGGATTATAGCTCACGAAATCATAAAAATTTGACTCCGCCGAGTCATTTGCCGTCGGATAAAACCGTCAAAGTTGGGCAAAAATTGTTGCCTATCGCCCACAAAATCATGAAATTCAAATAATGGGTTATAACCCATGAAATTGCCTCCGGTTAAAACGGACCAAAATGGTTGGAGGACCATGTGTTATAATCCATGAAATCGTAAAATTTAAACTCCGCCTAATTATATGCCGCCGGGACCAAACGCCCGAGAATGGTCAATAATCACGTGTTATAGCTCATAAAATGATCGGTTTTGAATTCTACAATGATATTTTGACATAGGGTGTTGAACAAACCAAAATGGTTAGAAATTGTTCGGACAATAGCTCATGAAATGATCGGTTTCGACATTTCCGACAACTGGCTAAAAAAGAGAAAAATGATCAAAATTCATGGGTTACACCTCATGAAATTGTCTATTTTTAATTTAGTAAATCTTTCTGGCATCGGGTTGAAACGGACTGAAACTGACAAAATGTGTCAGAAATCATGAGTTGTAGCTCACAAAATTGCGTAATATGCACTCCGCCAAATTAATTGCACTGGGTCAAAATTGTGCGTAAATGGAAAATTTTCGTGGGTTATAGCTCACGAAATCACAAAATTTGACTCCGCCGAGTCATTTACCGTCTGATGAAGCCGTCAAATTTCACCAAAAATTGTTTCCTATCGCTCACAAATCGTGAAATTCGAATAATAGGTTATAACCCATGAAATCGCGCCCGGTCAAAACGGACCGAAACGATCAGAAAGCCATGGCTTATAACCCATAAAATCACGAAATTTGAA